AAAAAAAAAAAAAAAAAAAAGAAAAAAGAAAAAGTCAATATCTTAGTTCATTTGGGCTGCTATAACGAAATACCATACCCTGCATGGCTCATAAACAATAACCATTTTTTCTCACTGCTCTCGAGGCTGGGAAGTCCAGGTCAAGTCACCAGCAGGTTTGGTGTCTGGTATGGCCTCTTTCTGATTCATACATGGCAGCTTCCCACTAAGTCTTCACATGGTGGAAGGGGTAAAGGTGTCTCTGGGGTCTCTTTTATGAGGGCATTAATCCAGTTCATGAGGGCTCAGGCCCCATTACCTAATTACTTTCCAAAAGCCCACCACCTCCTCATACCATCACCCTGGGAGTGAGGACTTTTTGGAAGTTATCAGTCACTTCTGTCAAATCGTAACAAAGTAGAGCTGGGAAGCCGTGAAGAAGGGGCCCTCACACACATATGCCTGTCAGAGAAATTATCTCAAGAAATTCCTCAAAACCCCAGTATTATAGGTAAGCCCCTTGTACAAGGATATTTGTCTAACAGTGGCTGTCTCCACAATAAGCTAACACCAACTCCTGCAACAGGCTCCTGTAATCAACAGTACTTGTTTCAAAGAAGTTTATGTGGACTTCTCCTTGCTCACCCCAACCTTTTTTTTCTGAGACAGAGTCTCACTCTGTTGCCAGGCTGGAGTGCAGGGGCGCAATCTAAGCTCACTGCAACCTCCACCTCCTGGATTCAGGCGATTCTCCTGCCTCAGCTGCCAGAGTAGCTGGGATTACAGACATGTGCCACCACACCCAGCTAATTTTTGTATTTTTAGTAGAGACGGAGTTTGCCAGGATGGTCTCGATCTACCTACCACGGCCTCCCAAAATGCTGGGATTGCAGGCGTGAGCCATCCCGCTCTTCCCCTCCAACCTCTTTTAATGTGCCTATTGTCCACTATAACATTCATATCTCAAATTGCAATTTCTTGCAATTCTTGAATAAACACTTTCTTTTGGAGCATCAGTCTGTCTGTTGTTTACTTTAGCTTGCCAATTTTAAACATATTAATATTGGAAAAACGCAAACATTCAGACCACATCGGTCACCTTCCTCTTTTTTGGAACAGAAAAGCTCAAGGCCAGAGAGTTTGTTTTAGTAAAGTTTTGACATACTTGTCTTCAAAGATAAAACATGAAAAAGTATTCCACAGACACAAATAAAGTGATTTTGTTCCTCCTTCACTATGGGGTATTCTAACCACAGAGATTCCAATTTTTTGGTCTTGGATGGGTCCTGGGAGTCAGTGTTTTTTTTTAAGTTCCCTAAACACCTAGCAAACTAGGGTGTTTCTCAGACCAAAGCCATGCATCTGAATCACTGAGGACAATGCCTCTGAAACTTTAGTATGCATACAGATCACCAAGAGATCTTGTAAAAATGCAAATTCTGATTCAGTGGGTTTGTGGTGGAGCCCAGGATTTTGCATTTCGTCATTTCTTTTTTTTTTTAGAGACAAGGTCTGGCTCTGTAGACCAGGCGAGGTGCAGTGGCACCAACAGGGGTCACTGCAACCTTGAACTCCTGGACTCCGGGCATCGTCCCATGCTGGAATACAATGGCAAGATCTCAGCTCACCCCAACCTCTGCCTCCCAGGTTCTAGCAATTCTCCTGCCTCAACCTCCCAAGTAGCTGGAATTACAGGAATATGCCACTAAGCCCTGCTAATTTTTTAACTTTTTTTTTTTTTTTTTGTTAGTAGATATAGGATTTCAGTATGTTGGTCAGGCTGCGTGCGAACTCCTGACTTCAGGTGATTCGCCCGCCCCGGCCACTCAAAGTGTTGGGATTACAGGCGTGAGCCACCACACTGGGCCAGGATTCTGCATTTCTAACGAGCTCCCAGGTGTTACCAATGCTGCTGGTTCATGGACTACACTCTAAGTAGTAAGGCTCTAGGTTATTAAAGGAAATACAGGTTCCTGGGTCCCACCTATCAGAGATTCTGATTCGGTTAGTGTTTTTTGTGAGACCCAAAGTCTGCAGTTTATCTCTCTAAGGTGTTTCTGAGGCCCAACTGGACTGGGAAATTACTAGAATAAATGACATCAAATCAAAACCTGGGAACTAATCCTGGTTCTGTCATTAACTCCTTAAGGAGATTCCCTCCCCCACGGAGATCCCTTTATCAATAAAAGATTGGAGAAGTTAATCTCTTAGGCCCTTCTAGATCTCGCGTTTGAGAAGTGCCCACCTCCCCATTCCCACCCGGTATCCCCAACCCAGAACAGGTCACGGCCAATGGCGGGCCGAGTAGTAAAACTACAATCCCCACAATGCCACGCGCCTCTCCTCTCATGTGAGGTCGTGCTGGAGGGTTGATAATGGAGGTGTTCTCCACAATCCTTTGCGGTAGTTCAAGATGGCGGCGCCCAATGACACTATGAGCGATTCGGAAAGCAGTAGCGACGCGGAGGAGCTGGCGCGGTGCCGCGAGGCAGCAATACCGGCCTGGGGCTTGGAGCAACGGCCGCACGGGGCAGTGAAGCCAAGAGCCGGTAGGGGACTATGGTTGGGGAGACTGGCTGAAGGGCATGGGATCTTCCCCTGGAGCCTGAGAGGATGGATGGTGAGGAGGGAGTCACTGCAACTCGACTTCCTTCCGTGAGACAGCTCCAGGGACTGGGTGTAGTGCAGATTGAAAGCATGGGCAGGTGCAGTAGGGAGGGTGTTTCATTATCCCAGTCAGGGATACGGAGGTACCTAAATGTCTTGACTCTGCCTCTTTGAGTCTGTCCTCTGCCGCACACTGGGAAGGCCGCCATTTCTTCGCGTTAACTGCAACAGCCCCCTCCCGATATTCTTGCAGCCAGCCTTTCCCTCCCTCCAACACATTCTCCCACCTTTGAGGTTGCCAACGAGCAGTGTCCAGCACATCACTCTGACCGCGACTCTCTAGTGTCCTGGGAATAAATACAGAACCCCTCAACATCAAGGGACCTAATCATGGGTAGAATCCTGCGGGCTCTTGAATTTGGAATGAAAAAGTGTTGCAATAAGTTCTGGCTTATTGCTTGCCTGATGGAAAGAGACGCTACTGTTACTTTATCCCAACAGAAGTCACAGATTTTCATATCTCATTACACTCTTTGCAGATACAGATATCAATATATCCTTTTATCAATAATAAGATATTGGGAAAAAGTCATTTACACTCGTCGTGGTGGTGCACGCCTGTAATCCGAGCTACCCAGGAGGCTGAGGCAGGAGAATTGCTTGAACTCGGAGGCGGAGGTTGCAGTGAGCCGAGATTGCGTCACTGCACTCCAGCCTGAGTGATAGAGTGAGACTCCGTCTCAAAAAATAAAAAAAGCAAAAGCAAAAACAAGCCGGACACAGTGGTTCACACCTGTAATCTCAGCACTTTGAAGGCCAAGGCAGAAGGATCACTTGAGCCCAGGAGTTCAAGACCAGCCTGGGCAACAGGATGAAACCCCATCTCTACAAAAAAAAAAAAAAAAAGAAAGAAGAAAAGACAGCTGCTTGGGAGGCTGAGATGGGAGGATCACCTTAGCAGGGAGAGGTTAAGGTTGCAATAAGCTGTGATAGTGCCACTGCACTTCAGCCTGGGTGACAGACTGAGGCCCAGTCTTGAAAAAAAAAAAAAAAAAAGACTAAGAGGCAGGAGGAGGAAAGTAGTCCATGTGGAGAGACCAACTATGTATTTGCCACCATGTTTTGGGCCTTTGAGATGTGCCAAGCACTGTAGCACATCATCTATCTCCATTACTTCTCAACCTTACGGGGTGGGTACTGCCACTACCCGTACTGTGCAGATGAGGAAATTTAGGTACAGTGAGATGTGAGTACCTTGCTTAAGTGCCCACTGCTAATGAGTGAGATGGAAAGGCAGATCTGTGTATAGAAGTTGTAGAGAAAACTGCGGTTATGGTACTAGGGGGTGAGAGAACAGACTATAGTTTAGAGCCTACCCACAGGAAGTGCAGTGTGGCAGGAGGGAAGGAAGGGAGAGGAGGGCAGTGAATGGATCAACAAAAGGCTTGTAAGTCCTTTCAAACAAACGCAGCAGTGCTTAACCTTGCTTTGTGCCATGTCCTTCTGTAGCAGCTGGTGAAGCCTGATTTTCTTCTCAGAATAATGTTCTAAATGCATGAAATGCAACATATAAGATTACAAAGAAAACCAATGATACCGAAATTTAAGTATCGTGATAGTCAACAACCAAACTTGCGATGTATGTACTTGTTTGTTAATACATTATACCAGATCTAGAGATGGGTCTAAAAATTAGTGTGGCACATTTTAAATCAGGGATGAGTATAAATGACTCTCTCCCAATGGCTAATTTTTGTATTTTTAGTAGAGATGGGGTTTCACCATGTTGGCCAAGCTGGTCTCAAACTCCTGACCTCGTGATCTGCCCACCCCGACCTCCCAAAGTGCTGGGATTACAGGCATGAGCCACCACGCCTGGCCTTCTTTTTCATTTTTTAATATGGCTAAGACACCACCCACCTCTTAGGAGAGCTTTCTCCATCTTTCAAGTCTGGGTTACCTGCATTCTCCTTGCCATCATCATACTTCGTGTGATTCCCTTCATAGATAGTGCTTTTCTTCCTTCCTACAATTGCCTCTTGGATCTTTTTTTTCTTTCACCCCTGCATCCCCAACACGTTAAGTCAATCCTGGCTTATACTTGCCCCACAAGGATTTATTGAGTGAGAGGTTCCATGATGTGAGCTTCATGAAGGCTGGACTCTCACCTATCCCTTTACCACAGTATCTTCAGGACTCAGGAAAATGATTATTGAATGAATGAATTTGCACAAAACACACCTCTCTAATGAGTGAGGGGGCTGGGATTCTAGCAGCTTCCCACTCCAGTCGCAGTGTTAGGTTGACTTGATATGAAGTGCTGGTCTTGGACAAATAACTTCAGTAGCTACAATTTTCTTATCTATAAAACATCCAATTCCTAGAGTTGTTTTGAGTCTCAAATATGAACAAACTTTGACCGACGAATGAAAAGATGTTCACATGAGAAGTGGTATCCAAGGTATCAGCTTTACAACTCATTGTTTTTGTGACATCATAAAATCTCCTGCTGATCAAAGTAGATGAAGCTGCTGATAAGAGGTGCTGTTATTTATTGAGCACCTACTGTGTGCTGGGCAAGATGCTGGACATTTGGAGTATCTTTTTTTTTTTTTGGGATTGAGTCTCACTCCGTTGCTCAGGCTGGAGTGCAGACGTACGATCTCAGCTCACTGCAACCTCCGCTTCCTGGGTTCAAGCAATTCTCCTGTCTCAGCCTCCCGAGTAACTGGGATTACAGGTGCCTGCCACCACACCCAGCTGATTTTTGTGTTTTTAGTAGAGATGGGGTTTCACCATGTTGGCCAGGCTGGTCTTGAACTCCTGACCTCAGGTGATCTGCCTGCCTCGGCCTCCCACAGTGCTGAGACTATAGGCATGAGCCACTATGCCCAGCCTGGAGTTCATTCTTCTAATAATAATAATATTATCATTAGAGTGCTTCTAATAATAGCCACCAGGAGTTGAGAACTTACTTTTTGCCCCCTGTTCTAATCACTTTGTATTTGTTGTCCGTTTTCATCTTCCCAGCAATACCAAAAAGGGTGTATTAGCTCCATTTTACAGAAAACTGATGCTCGTAGTGGTGAAATAACTTGGCCAAGGTTGTCCAATTTGTAAAGGGCAGAAGCAGGCGTAAATCCAGGCCTACCTGACTCCAAGTCCGTGCTCTTCATTGCTGCCGTGCCTCTCTGCCATGGACAAGTGTCTGTTGTGGTCAAAACTCCCACCCTTTGGTCCATGACTATGTGGAAATATAGTCACTACTTTATTTATGTAACCTCTAGATGCAGCTTTTAAATCCAGTGATGAATTGGTCACTCAAATCACTTTAATTTTATAGTAGCATCTACTTTGATTTATTTTTCCGACAATTAGTTCAAACCAAGATACCACGGCAGGATCTGGGGATACAAAGATAAAATGAGACAGACTGGGCCGGGCGTGGTGGCTCACACCTGTAATCCCAGCACTTTGAGAGGCTGAGGCGGGCGGATCACAAGGTCAGGAGTTTGGGACCAGCCTGGCCAACATGGTGAAACTCTGTCTCTACTGAAAATACAAAAATTAGCTGGGCATGGTGGCAGGCGCCTGTAATCCCAGCTACTCGGGAGGCTGAAGCAGAATGGCTTGAACCCAGGAGGTGGAGGTTGGGTTGCAGTGAGCTAAGAACATGCCATTGCACTCCAGCCTGGGTGACAGAGCAAGACTCCGTCTCAAAAAAAAAAAAAAAAGAGGCAGACCATGTATTCAAGCAGCTTACAAATCCAGGAAGGAGATGGGCGTGGAAACAAAATCTCCACAACACTAACTCGTAAGGCTGGTCATCGTATTCCTATTTTATAGATGAGAAAACCAAGGCTCAGGGAGATAAAGTGACTTGCCCAGCATCACACAGCTTGGTGGCAGAGCCAGGACTCGGCTGAACTGTCTTCCTCTGTAATACTGTTCTGTTCCATGACAGTACCTCACCCTCACCACACTGTAGTCTTGCTGGAAGAGATGCTCTTCTTGTGATTATGTGCTGAAGACCACCAGGTCCTTAAAGACTGTCCGTCCGGGCCCCCACAGTACCCGCCTCCAGGAGCATGTTCTGCATCCTGTGTTGTGCTCTGGAGGACACTGACATAAATCACAAGGTACCAGGACACAGATGCAGTGCGTGTGGGTGATGACATAAACACAGCCTGCCCCCAGGGAGCTGTTTCACACACCACGGCCCTCCACTGGGCCTGGAGCTACCAAGTGTCCACTTTGTTCAGTTGGCCCCTTAAATACGGAAGCACGTTTTGTCTCGTTAGTTAAGTCAGAGACCTCAGAGCTAACTGTCACTCATCTCTCACACCCTGAGGTCAGTTCATCAGTGAATCCTATTGACTCCATCTTGCAAGTGCATCTCTCTGGAGTCCACACCTCTCACCAGCTCAATTATTGCAGCAGACTCCGTGTTCCTGCCTTTACCCCAACAGTGCCGTGCGGCACAGCAGCCAAAGATGTATTGTGAAAACCCAGGTCAGTTTATGTCCTTCCTCTGCTCAGTTTCAGAGTTCTTCCTCCTCAAAGCCCAGGTCCTCCCACTGGCCCATGTCAGGACCCTTCGTGATCTGGCCCCCGTGAGTTCTCCATCTCTGCCGCTCCCAGTTTGCTGGCTGGGTCCTGGTCACGCTGACCTCCTCACTGTTCTAAACACACAGAGCAGGCTCTGATCTCAGGGCCTTTGCAGATGCTCTTCCCTTCTGTCTGGAAGGCTGTGTCCCACATGTCTATTTGGTTCACTCCCCTCCTCTCTCAAATCTCTGTTCAAATGAAGCCCTTTCTACCCACCTTTATATAACAGTCCCCAGCCCAGTGCTTCCCACCTCCCTCCCCTACTTTGTTTCTGTTTTTTTTTCTGTGCACTTACCATTATCCAACTTTACATTTTGTTTATGTACGTGTGTTTGTCATCTCTCTCCACCAACTAGAATGTAAGCTCCATGCAGACAGTGACATTCAAGTAAGTTGCTCAGCAGTTTCACCTGGCTAATATGAGGCGTTCAGTGTTTGGTTTGAGTGAATGAAAGGCCAGACATCCTTAGTGTTTTGGTTTGAAAAATGTGATCTACAAAAGAGCCATCTTCTCTCTCCTCCACGGCACTTAGCACACAGCCAGGCAGGCACTAAACTGTGCAGTGCCGTTATACTTAACTGGAGTATCCAGCACAGCATGGTGGTTAAGAGGGGCTCAGGAGCCAAGTGGCCTGGGTCCTCGGCCCAACCCTGTCACTTAATAGGTATTTGACTCTGGCCAACTTATTTTACATCTCTGACGTTTCTTCTGCAAAACAGGATAATGGTAACTCCTCCAATCGGGTTGTTGGAAAGATTCACTGAGTTATATGTGCTATATATATTTTAAGTTATATACATAACTCGTTAGTTAAGTCAGAAACCTCAGAGCTAAGTTTCACTTCTCTCTCACACCCTGAGGTGTATATATAACTATTTTAAGTTATATAACTAAGTTATATATATGCAACTATATAAAATATACTTATATAATGTTATGGGTTCATAACTATCTTAAGCTACATATAAACTATATAAAATATACTTATATAAATTACAGGTATATAACTATTTTAAGTTATATATAAATATAGCTATCAGTGATATATATTTTCAGCTGCTGAACATAGTGCCTGATAGACGTTTGTACTTGTCATTTTTCCTCTGTAAATTTCTTCTATAAATGCAGAGTTAGGCCTCAAACCCATGTGCATATATATTTTAAGTTATACAACTAAGTTATATATAACCATATAAAATATAGTTATATAAATAGTTACGTATATAACTTACATATGTAACTATTTTAAGTTATAGGTATATAACTGTTTGAAGTTATATATAAATATAAATGAGTGATCCATGTATGTGTATGAGTGATATATATTTTCAGCTGCTGAACATAGTACCTGGCACACGTTTGTACTTACTGTCATTGTTGCCTCTATAAATGTCCCAATTTCCGTTTTTCCACAGGTGCTACAGATAACCAGTTGTCAACCTCCCAACCGAGTCTCAGGTACTGTGCTCTTTGGGTTCAAGTTTCACTTATTCATTCAACAAATGCTGATCCCCTGTGTGTGCCAGATGCTAGGCTAGACCCCTGGCATATCCAGGTGAACAAGACACACATGGTCCCCACGCTCATGGGGGCAGCTCCTGAGCGGCAGGAAGTGAGGTCTCTTTGTGTGTGTCGTAGGCCTAAGGTGGATGAACATGAACAAGATGGCAACGAGCTTCAGACCACCCCCGAATTCCGAGCCCACGTAGCCAAGAAGCTGGGAGCCCTGCTGGACAGGTAAACACCGGTGGAGTTTCTCCTCTCCTGCCCTTGTTAATACAAACAGCAATGGCTCACACTGGCTGGGAGCTCACGGTGTCCAGGCAGGCACTTGGCATATGTCACCTCACTGCATTCATAAAACACGTTATCATGTGGGTCCTGTTGTTACCTTTATTCTCCAGGTGAGGAAACAGGCTGTCAGCAAGGAGACATGTTTGCCTGAAGTCATCATCATAGCTACCATTTACTGAGCAACTGTTTGTAGCCAGGCTCTGTGCTAAGCGCTTGATGTCCATTTTCTCATTTAATCCTTGTGATGACCCTAAGAAGTAGAGACTGTTACCATTCCCACTGTACAGGTGGGTAACTGAGGCTCAAAGAGGCAAAGTCATCTGCCCAAGGGACACCGCTACTAAATGACAAAGCCAGAATTCAAAACCCAGGAGGGAGCAGAGTTGGGCCTGAAACCCAAGTGCATCTGACTCCAAACCCATGTTGTGTTGTTTTGTTTTGTTTTGTTTTGTTTTTTGAGATGGAGTCTCACGCTGTCACCCATGCTGGAGTGTAGTGGCACAGTCTTGGTTAACTGCAGCCTCCACCTCCCAGGTTCCAGTGATTCTCGTGTCTCAGCCTCCCAAGTAGCTGGGATTACGGGTACCCACCACCACACCAGGCTAATTTTTGTATTTTTATTAGAGACAGGGTTTCACCATGTTGGCCAGGCTGGCCTCAAACTCCTGACCTCAAGTGATCTGCCTGCCTTGGCCTCCCAAAGTGCTGGGATTACAGGTGTGAGCCACCATGCCCAGCCAAGCCCATGTTCTTAACCCCTGCAACCATGAGAATAAGAGGAACCGCAAGAAGCTCATTCCCGCCACAAGAGGGCAATGTTCCTATTTCTTGGGTGCCTTTTGTGTGCCAGGCTCTGTGCCAGGTCTCTGTCTTACATTCTCAGCACAGGTTGACCACACAGTCGGTAAGGATTCAGGTTGGCATTCCTAAAGTAGGTGCCAAGGAATACCACCTGTTTGAGTCCATATGGGTTGCTATAAGAAAATACCACAAACTGGGTAGCTTATAAACAGAAGAAATGGATTTCTCACATTTTGGAGGCAGAGAATTCCAAGATCAAGGCACCAGCAGATTCCATGTTGTCTGCGGAGAGCCCTCTTCCCAGTACAGATGACGCCTTCTCACTGTGTCCTCACATAGCGGAATGGGCGAGGGGTCTCCCTCAGGCCTTTTTTATAGGAGCACCAATGTCATTCATGAAGGCTCCACCCTCATGATCTAATCACCTCTCAAAGGCCCCCGTCTCCTAACCCTAAGACCTTGGGTTGAGGATTTCTTCTTTTTTTTTTTTGGAGATAGAGTCTCACTCTGGAGCACAATGGCGCAATCTCGGCTTACTGCAAACTCCACCTCCTGGGTTCAAGCGATTTTCATGCCTCAGCCTCCTGAGTACCTGGGATTATAGGCATGTGCCACCACACCTGGCTAATTTTTTGTATTTTTAGTAAATATGGGTTTTCACCGTGTTGGCCAGGCTGGTGTCAAACTCCTCTGACTTCAAGTGATCCACCCGCCTTGGCCTCCCAAAATGCTGGGATTACAGGTGTGAGCCACCGTGCCCAGCTGGGGTGAGGATTTCACCATAAGAATTTGGGGAGGACACAAACATTTGTATTCTAGCATTAGCCCGAAGCGTGGCTCTAGAGGAAAAGAGGTTCTTTTTTCTAGAAGAGGCTCTCCCCAGACACGGAGGTCCAGAGAAGTGTGAGAAACACTGCAATCCACGTACGTCCATGAGTCCTTGCAGACTGCAACTCGTAGCAGTATATTCAAGGCTCTGAGAATTCCTGTAGGGAAGAGACCTGTGTTAACTGTTTAGCCCAGCATTTTCCAAACTCATGTAGCCTCAGGGCCTTTGTTTCACGGAAGACCAGTCCACAAGCTGTGGAACAGGTCTGGGGATGCGCTGGTCCACGTCCCATCCTCACTGGCAGAGCCCTGGCAGGGTTTCCAAGGGAGTTGAGGCAGGATTTGGGGCCATTGTCATTCCAATTGAGTAGATATCAAAAAGGACAAATGAGCCTTCCCAAAGTGTGAACCAGCTCTTCTCCTGAGACAGAATGATGGCCAGAGCTCCGCAGCCTGAACCCCCATAGGGTTGGGGCCAGTCCCCTCAATTCGAGAATGCAGGGGAGGTGTTTGGGAAGGCAGTTGCATTTCAGCCTGTGGGAGCACAGTTTTTCTTTGTGACTCTCTGGCTTCAGGCTGAACAGGGCCTGCTTGGCATTGCACTGAGCCACCATGGATGTTTCTCCAGTAGAAATGCCATCAGCCATGGTTAGAATATTCCCTGCAGCATTTCCATGTTTCTCCAAAGAAATTTAAATGATACCTTAAGTGTGGTGGGTCACGCATGCAATCCCAGCACTTTGGGAGGCCAAGGCGGGTGGATTATTTGAGGTAAGGAGTTCGAGACCAGCCTAGCCAAGATGGTGAGACCCCATCTCTACTAAAAGTGCAAAAATTAGCAGGACATGGTGGCGCGCACCTGTAGTCCCAGCGTACTCCGGAGGCTGAGGTAGGAGAATCACTTGAACCCAGGATGCAGAGGTTGTAGTGAGCCGAGATCATGCCACTGCACTCCAGCCTGGGTGACAGAGCAAGACTCCATCTCAAAAAAATAAAAGAAATGTAAATGATACCACAGTTGGCCCCCGTGTTCGGTCAGTCGCCCTCAGCCTTGGCGCTGCTGGCATCTTTGACTAGCATTTGCCGTAGGGTCTGTCCTTCTTCCCATCATAGGATGTTTACCAGCACCCCTGGCCTCTACCTACTAGAAGATAGTAGCACTCACCCCACCAGTTGGGACAAGCAAAACTGTCTCCAGACATTGCCAGCTGCCCCTGGTGGCCAGCCAGCATTAAACCACTGTGTGGGTCAGGAACAGGTGCCTGGGTGGCGGCGTCTCTGCTTCCTCCCCCCAGGTTGCTCTTCCTGAACAGGGCTTGGGGGCGCCTTTGGCATACAGGAAGGGCGGTTAGGGAAGGCACCCAGGGCATTGCTGTGTCTGCTTTGAGGGCATTGCTGAGAGCCTTGTTCTCTGCTGTGCACAGCGACTTCTCCATCCGTGTTCACCAGAGCCATGCTTCCTGGTCTTGAGCCTCTAGAGAAACGCAGCGTATTTTTAAGTTAGAGATCCTGTGACGGCCAAAGCTTTTCTTGGTGGCAGTCATCATCTTCAGCATCGTCATTGCTACCATTTACTGAGCGACTACTTGTGGCCAGACCATGCGCCACAAGTGCTTGATAGCCATTTTCTCCTTCAGTCCTTGTGATGACCTTAAGAGGTGGGGACTGTCCTCATTCCCACTGCACAGTTGGATAACAGAGGCTCACAGAGGTAAAGTCGTTTGCTTAAGGGACACAGCTAATACGTGACAAAACCAGGATTCAAAACCCAGGTCTCTGAAGTCTGGATAAGGTCCGGGAATTGAGTCCATTTCCGTTGCCTGGTTATGATATTGTACTGTAAGGAGGCACAGTGTTACGATTGTGAGAAGATGGGTGGAGGGTCTGTGGAACCTCTGTATTATTTGTTGCTACTGCATGTCTACAATGACCTCCAATTTTTTTAATTAAAAAAATTTAAAACAAGTCTGCTTTGTTCAAGAAGCTGTCCTCTGAATTAGTTTTCTAGATTGGTCATATTTCCCTTTTCATGCTTGCTGCTAGGAAGCTCAAAGCAAAATGTATGCCCTCTCTCTCTAATGAGTATATAGGACTTCCTGACCACACTTCTAGGTCTTTCCATTCCTCTTGCCGTTATATCTCTATGCCCTATTTGAAATTGCATTCGTTTTGTTTTACTGTATCTTTAAAACTTCAACACTGTGGGCTTTAAACAAATGAAGCAGTGCGGTTTGCATGGCAGAGGCTGGTCAGCATGTTACAGCTGTACCGTCAGCCCTCTTAGTAGGCCAGCATGCTTTCTGCTTTTGCATTTAAGATCACATGCCCCATCCTCTCCACTTGAAAAAAAATTTTTTAATTGTTTTTGTTGTTATCCAAAAATATCATCTTAAATCAACCATTTCGTCTCCCCTCAGCTTCATTACCATCTCAGAAGTAGCAAAGGAGCCAACAAAAGCTCAGGTACAGAAAGTCGCTTCAGAGGATGATGGTAAGTGGTTAGACTTCCTAGAAGCTATCATTTAATGAGCACCTAATGTGTGTCTGGAGCTGGGCGAAACAGTTTTTTTGTTTTTTTTTTCTTTTTTTCAAAATAGGGTCTTGCTCTGCCACCTAGGCTGGAGTGCAGTGGAGCGGTTATAGCTCAATGCAGCCTCAACGTCCCAGACCCAGGCAGTCCTCCCCCGTCAGCTGCCTGAGTAGCTGGGACCACCGATACACACCAGCACACCTGGCTAATTATTATTATTATTATTTTTTAGAGACAGGGTCTCAATTTGTTGCCCAGGCTGGTCTTGAACTCCGGGCCTCAGGTGATCTCCCCACCTTGGCCTCCCAAAGTGCTGGGACTATAGGCATGCGCCACCACACCTGGCTAATGTTTGTATTTTTTGTAGAGACAGGGTTCCACCATGTTGTGTAGGCTGATCTTGAACTCCTGGTCTCAAGTGATCCTCCTGCCTCACACTCCCAAAGTGCTGGGATTACAGGCGTGAGCCACTGCGCCATTCTTTTTATCTGCTCAGCTGCTGTGGTGAGGCAAGTATTATGATAAGTCCCCATTTACAGACACGGCAACTGAGGCCCTGAGAAACGAACTCCTTTGCCCAAGGTGACCTCATCTGTGTCGCCCTGAGCAGGACCACTTTACCCCTGCCCTCCACAGCGTCACCCGTCCGCATCTGTCCTGTACCAATGCATTTCCTACTTTGAAGGCTGCCTTAGGTCAGGAGCTCAAGTGCTGGCTTCCAGAAGCCTCTGAGGGCTTGCTGAGCTGATGTGGCTGCTGGCTTCCCCTCCAGCGCGCCCTCTACTGGCTCCATCAGGCATCGGCATGACTCTCGGGAGACGCAGCATCACTTTGTAGATAAAGGACCGATTCCGGGGTCTTTGCCTGTGGACCAGGAGCTCCTGGAGGGCAGAGGCGGGGCAGCCTCAGCACCTGGCACCGGGGTGGAGGGGTTGGCATCTGGCAGTGCTGACTGCCCCTTTGGTTTGTTCGGGTTTTTTGTTGTTGTTACTGTTCCTTTTTTTAATTTTTTTTCTTTTTGTTTCTTTTACTTTTTTTTTGTTTGGTTTCGTTTTTGTTTGACTCTGCCCCTTTGAATCTTAGGTTTCCGCCTTTTCTTCACGTCTGTCCCTGGAGGCCGTGAGAAGGAAGAGTCTCCCCAACCCCAGCGAAAGCGCCCGCCCTCCAGCTCCAGGTGAGAACTCACACCTCTCCTCACGTGCCCTCCTTTCTCCGCCTCTTCTGTCTTGGCGGGTTCCCCGGAATGGCCAAGCAGACGCCAGTCAGGACCAGGCCGAGGCAGGGGCCGTCAGGAGCTGGAGAAACGTGTGCTGAGTGGGAGGGCAGAGCTCTCTTGGTGGCAGCTTCGGATGGTTACTGCTTTTGAGCACCTGTCTTGGGCCAGACACCTCACTTGATCATAGTTGCCTCCTGGGACACCCCTGGGAGGCCTGGACTCTGTTAAGATCCCCTTTTGTAGATGGTACTGAGAGTCAGAGAGGTTAAATCACTCAGGAGGTCACAGGGCTGCTCGACCCAAAAGCCAGTGTTGGAAGCCGGTTTGGTCCCACTTCCAAGCCTGAACCCGCTACCTGCCTGCCTGTGCGGCCGCTTTCTGGTGACCTGGACTGAGGGAGGACAGTGAGGCAGCCCTGACTGCAGCTAACCCAGGGCGCCCTCTCCTTGCAGCAGTGAGGACAGCGGCGAGGAGTGGCGGCGGTGCCGGGAGGCAGCTGTGTCGGCGTCGGACATCCTGCAGGTGTCCGCCATCCACGGCGCTGGCACGGGGGAGAAGGAGGCAAAGGAGAAAAGGAAGTCCAAAAAGAAAGCCAAGAAGGTGGCGGTAGTCGCCACCGCCGCCCCCAGCGCCGCCACAGTCCAGAAGCAGAAGTCAGGTGAGCTCACCAGGGACCAGGTGTCGCTTGGAACCAAAAAGAAGAAAAAGAAGAAAAAGGCAAAGAAGGCCAGTGAGGCCTCTCCATTCCCACCAGCAAAGAGTGGCACGGCGGTGCCTGCAGACTGACCTAGCTGTGGGCACAGGGCTCAGATCCAACGACAGGGTGCCTGGGGACAAGGCATTTCCAAGCCCCACCTCCCTCTCCAAGTTCAAGGACTGGGCTGGCAAGTCTAGACTGTCCGTAAGACCCTGATGGTGATGAGGGCTTGCCCAAGAGTCGGGCCAAAAAAGTGGCTGCGGGTGAGAAACCCAAGCACGGCCTGCCCGTCTGTGCTCCCATGGGGGGCTGGGGGCCTGTGGTTCCAGAACATTGCATGGCCTCAGGAAAAGGAGCCTTCCGGTTATTTGAGACTAGTGGCCAAGTGGTAAAACCTCTATCTCCCTAGAACTGTCTGAGGTGGGCAGGGGAAGGGAGACCTCCTTCCCCACCACCTCCTTAGCCTGGCGTGAGAAACCATTTCTAGAAAATGAGAGAAGGGATCCCAAGATGCCAAGGTCCAGAGAAACTTCTGTTCTTCTCCCCTTAGTCCACATAGACTTCACAGAAGCGTCTGAGAACAGAAAGATTTTTTTCACCCCTGGCTTTCTAGAATTTCCTTTGTCTGCATTTGTGAATATACCAAACATGATGGTGTCTCTGAGCTGACCAGATTATGGAAACTCAATTGTCAGGGGACCCAAACAAAACTGAGAGCGAGCTGGGTATTGCCTCTGTCAGTGCTGAACCTTAAGACACTTTGAATAAACATCCTCCTCTCTCCACCCGACCCAAGACTTCAGGAAGTGTCACAGCGCTCGTGGACTAGGTTTCCTGTGACAGAGGCATTCTGCAAGAGGTAGAAGCTCACTGCCAAGCACAGTGGCTCCCGCCTGAATGCCCAGCACTTTGGGAGGCCAAGGAGGGTGGATCAGTTGAGGCCAGGAGTTTGAGACCAGCCTGGCCAACATGACGAGACCCCATCTCTACTAAAAATACAAAAATTAGCTGGGCGTGGTGGCACACACCTGTAATCCCAGCTACTTGGGAGGCTGAGGCAGGAGAATCATTTGAACCCAGGAGGTGGAGGTTGCAGTGAGCCGAGATTGCACCACTGCACTCCAGCCTAGGCAACAAAGTGAGACGAGACCCTGTCTTAAAAAAACAAAAAACAAAAACAAAAAAACAAGAAGTAGAAGCTGACAGCCAGACACTGTTGCTCACACCTGTAATCCCAGCACTTTGGGAGACGGAAGCAGGGGGATCACTTGAGGCCAGGAGTTCCAGACCAGCCTGGATAACATGGTGAAACCCTGTCTCTGTTAAAAAAAAAATACAAAAATTTGTCAGGCATGGTGATGTGCGCCTGTGGTCCCAGCTGCTTGTGAGGCTGAGGTAGGAGGATCATTGAGGCCAGGCGGTCAAGGCTGCGGTGAGCCGGGAACGCCTCTGCGGTCCAGCCTGGGTGCCATGACACCCTGTCTCCAAAACAAAATTTTTTTAAAAAATAGAAACTCCAAGTTAGGTAAAATCTGGCTTCATCACCAGAGTCTCAGCAGAGCTAGAAAAGCAGAGACGGGTGTGAGAGTGGGTGCTGACGCCCGCCTCGTCTTTGCAGGCCCCTGGCCTGCCTCCACCTCCCTCTGCCTGCCCAAACTCCCCCCGAATGATTTGTGGACAAGCAAGGCGTTTCCACCGCATTTCTCCTTGACTTTACTAAAAGTTAAATAAATGTGCCGCTCGCCCCAGCTGGCTACAAGCTGCCGGGGTGCCGGGTCGCCCAGGCCTTCTCCTGAATCCCAGGGTGATGGTGGCGCTCCGAGGACCAGGTTCTCAGCAGCAGGCGCAGAGACACGGGGCCATGCTTGTCCGGGCTTCACAGGCTCCTGTGTCCCTCCTGGTGGTGCTCAGGACCTCAGACTCCTGGTGGCTGCGAAGTGCCCTCAGCCAGCCAGGGCCCCAGGCTCCTGAGCTTAGTCCTGTCCACACTGGCAGCTCCTCTGCTCTGGGGTCACCTCTTTCCTCTCCTGGGCGCCTCAGCCTGGCCAGCTGCTTGGGCCTTGCTACCTTCTGAGCACAGCAGCTTCTCCCCAAACAAGAGCAGGGTCTGCAGGACCCTCGAGACACAGGAGCTGCCCCACAGGACCTGGACTTGGCTCGGGTCACGAGACTCCCACAGGAGGAAGGACGACTTCCCAGCTCTGAAGCGGCCTTCCCCATAGAGGCAGGAGGCCGGGCTGGCCTCGGGGGTGTAATGCTCTTGGGAACTGATATCCAGGAAAGCTGGAGGCCCTGGGGCCCAGGAGAGGGAATCGCTGGGGACCAGGGAAGCTGGGAGACCCTGCCTACCTTCCCTGTTAGCTTCAGCCCCCCTGGACGTGGACATTGGAGCCCCAGGCCCTGGCACAGAGTAGCCACCCAGGAAATGCCTATGTGAGTAGACGACAGGGTCAGTACAAAGAGCATGTGCGTCCCTAGCTGGAAGGAGTGGGGGCGGGATGGAGTGGCCCTGTGGGTGCATAGGTGGCAGAACAAGGCCACACTGACCCAGGGCTGCTCAGAGCTCAGCATGTCACAGCTACACAGGCCTGTGTCCTGAGAAGCGTGGCTGCCAGAGTGGTGTAGGGGTCCCAGGGCTCACCACAGGCCCAGGCTGGGGGTGCCCACGTCACAGGCTGCCCCCTTCGTATCCCAAGCAGCAGGGACAGTCCTTCCATCTGCCAGGAGCAGGCTCTGCTCATGCTCTCCATGGCCCCCTTGTGTGTGACCGGAGCAGCCCTCTGCAGGTTGGGGCGCCTCAGAGCCCTCCCTTTCTGATGCGTCACAGCAAAGCCCAGAGTGAGGCACAGCTTTCCAGGAAGGGCAGCAGGAGCCCGGCAGGCTCAGGTCCTCCAGGCAGGGCTGGCTGCTGCCCTCATTGCCCCCCAGCCAGGCAGTACAGGCTCCAGGGCCCAGGTGCCGTGGTTACTGGGAGGAAGAGGCCATCTGCGTGGAGATGAAGGTCTCGATGACGCTGTGGTTGGACGGTAGCAAGTGGCTGTGGCCATTGCTGGAGTCTGAGCTCTGGTACAGCACCAGGCTGCTGGAGGACACTGTGGAGGCAAACGAGGCTGCTGGCCGTGCACAGACACCCGGACCCACCCCACCTGCCCCAGGGATACTCGGGACGGGGAGGCAGGGCCACACCTCCTGGATCACAGCAGATAACAGGAACCCCAAAGCCAAACCTCTACCCTCAGTTCTTAACAAGGGGAGCCTCCCAGCCAGGCTCAGGGGCCGCCCAGGGAGTGGCCTCAGTACATCTTAGTGGGAACACTGGAGAAGCCCCGGTGAGATGCTGGGGCAGGCCGCTGTAAACATGTTGGCTTGGTGAGTTTGAGTCAAACGCTAATCTAAGTGCTGTTGTGAATGCAGGTGCTTTGTAGATGTGGTTAACGCCACAATCGGTTGGCTTTGCCTAAAGGAGTTTACCCTGAAAATATGGGTGGGCCTCCTCCATCAACAGAAGGCCATAAGAGCAAAAACTGATTTCCAGAGAAGAAAGAATTCTGCCTCAAGGCTGCAGAACTATCTCTCGAGGGAGTTCCTAGCAACAGATTTCAGGCTAGGCAGTTCCCGCAGTCTCGAGCCAGGTCCTTCAAGTCAATCTATTGGTTCTGTTTCTGGAGAACCCTGACTGATGGAAATGGTTAAGAGAATGGGCTTTGAGTTTGGACCTGGGTTCGAGTTCTGGCCCTGCTGCCTGGTAGCTGTGGGAGACGAGGCAAGTCCCTCCCCTCCTTAAGTGTGCACGTTCTCATCTGTAAAATGGGGGTGATTGTGCACACGCCTCCCGAGGTGAAGCATGGAGCCAGGACACAGAATGCCTTCAGTGGCTGGCATGACGGCTGCCAGAGCTGGGGCTGGAACCTTAGAGAAAGGGGCAACTTGCATAAAGGCAGGTGCAGAGCCAGCCACCTGACTCCAAATGCCCACTCCTGACAATGACATCATAGATTACAAACTCCAGTGACTCTCTGCCAGGGGTCATTGGAGCCGATGTGAGTGGATGCAGTGGGGTGTGGTGAGCTGTTATGTGGGAATATGAATTTTTCCAGTTTTCCAAGATGCTGGAAATCCGGATTTCTATGTGAAAATTCCTGATTTTGAAATGTTGGCAACAAATTTCAAAGAATGTTCAGCCCTGAGCCAAGCCAAACCAAACGCGTGAAAGAGTCGCCTCTGGCTCGCAGACCTGGTCCTTATCATCATCCGCCGCTGCCTCTAACAATTACTTCATCTTTTTCCTCAACCTAGTCCCTGAGATGTGCCTGTAAGGTGGGCCCATCTTCCTGGGATCGCCTTGCCTTTTGGGCTTCATGGGCTCACAGGCCGTGTCTGGGAGGCGGGAACACCACCCCACCCCCCATGCCTGCCGGGGCTTCCTCACGGCAGCCCTAGGCCTGCTGCATGCACTGCCCCACAGCGACGGGGACAGCAACGGGGACAACAACGAAAGGGGCGGAACCAACACGGAAGGGGCGGAGCCAGTAAGGGATGGGGCGGGGCCAGGGCCTCTCACTCGTGGGACTGGCGCTGAGCCGGTGGGCGGGCTGCAGGTGCTGAATGCCAGCAGGGTCCTGGCTGGGGACGTGGAGGGTGGTGGCCTGAGAGGCTGGTGTGTGAAGCCCGGACTCACTGGAGGCCTCGGTGTCTGAGGTGAAGACCTGGGGGAGCAGAGCAGACTCCTGAGCCCCGGGAGTGTGGCGGTGAGGGGTCTGGCTCAGGCGAGGGAGAGCGGCAGACCTAGGCCTTACCTGCTTGGTGGGCGTGAGGCTGGCCAGGGCGCTCAGGTTGGTGGTGTCAGTGATGAGCATGGTCTGCGGGAGCAGGCCCGTGTGCGTGTACTGGGCCACCTCGGGCTTGTGGCTGTAGAGGGCTGGCCGCAGGAGAGAGAGGGACAGACATGGCAGACGTGCCTGACAGCCCCGACAGCCCCCGACCCAGGCCTCAAGACTGGGGAAAGAGGGTCGTGGGGCCTTGCTGAACGGCCAGACTGGGCAGTGGTTGGAGATCCAGGGCTGATTCTCAAAACTGGGGGCTCCAGATAGAGGGACAGACCCTCTCCCCATTACAGGGGCCTGCTCGGCTAGGATTGATGCGGGGGAGCCTGGAGGAGGCTAGGAACCAACTCCAGCTCCTCTTGTCACCTGGAGACAGCAGGTATGAAAGGGAACGGGAGGTGTGGGTTTAGGTGCTATGTACTAAGCACAGGTGTTACCATACTAAATACAGGTGCTATGTACTAAGTGCAGGTGCCACTAAACACAGGTGCTATCTACTAGGCGCAGGTGCTACTGTACTAAACACAAGTGCTATATACTAAGTGCTGATGCTGGTGTAGTTTAGAAGAAAGGCAGGTGGTCCCTGTCAAAGAACAAGGCAGAGGACAGCAGTACCTCCATCTCCAGGCCACCTCTCCAAATATAAACCCCATGTCTTGCCTACAGCACCCCCACCCACCCCACAGAAGACACATAGACCCCACAAGAGGCACACAGACACTAGAAAACACACATAAACCACATATTCTCACAGTGACTCAGATAAAAACATGCACTTAAATACATGCACTCTCAACCACGAACACACAAAGAAATATACAGGTCCAAAACCTCTCAACCCAGTCCCAAATTCCAAAAAGGTTTTGAAACCAAAAGATGTCCTTAAGATTGGCACTAGAGCTCATTTGGTGGCAAACCCAACCTGAACTTGACATGGTTATGTGTGTGTTGAACCTGCTTTATGGAGATCCTGCCTTTGGCTGCAGAAATAGCAGTGCTTTGATCACGGGGTCTGTCCCAAACCCTGCTGGGAGTGTTACATGATAGCTGGCACATCCACCAAATGACTTTTTTTTTTGAGATGGAGTCTCGCCCTATACTCCCAGGCTGGAGTAGAGACGGGGTTTTACCATCTTGGCCAGGCTGGTCTTGAACTCCTTACCTCAGGTGATCTGCCCTCCTCGGATGGGATTATAGGTGTGAGGCTTCGTGAGCCTTTTTTTGTTTGTTTGTTTTGACAGAGTCTTGCTCTGTTGCCCAGGCTCTGATCCGCCCTCCAAAGTGTTAGGATTACAGGTGTGAGCCTTCATGACCCTTTTTCTTTTTTCTTTTTTTTTTTTTTGGAGACAGAGTCTTGCTCTGTCACCCAGGCTGGAGTGCAGTGGGGCAATCTCGGTTGACTGCAGCCACCACCTCCTGGGTTCAGGTGATTCTCCTGCCTCAGCCTCCCGAGTAGCTGGGACTACAGGCACGTGCCTCCACACCTGATTAATTTTTGTACTTTTAGCAGAGATGGGGATTCACTATGTTGGCCAGGCTGGTCTCAAACTCCTGATCTCAAGTGATCCACCAGCTTTGGCCTCCCAAGGTGCTGGGATTACAGGTGTGAGTTACCACACCTGGCCCCACATTACCTTTCTAAAATCCAAATAGTAGATTCTGAAATCGATATGGCCCTAACAGTTTCAGAGAAACACGGGCATGCACCCTCAAATGCATGCATAGCTGATAAACACCCAGACACGCATTAGGGATCTGCCCACACAGTCATGTACACACACACAGATACACGCATGAACATGGGAACACACTGGCCTGCAGGCACCCTCAGTCACAGAAACACACTTGTCCCAGAGACAAACTCGGACCACACCCCCTGCCAGGCACCCCCTTCCCCTGCATCCATTGACAGCCAACCTCTGTCATTTCCCTCTGTGTGGGGTTCAGGGGGCTCACCGTGGGGGTTCTGCAGCTGGGCCATGGTGGCCATGAAGGGGCTCTGGGTCACGTGGCTCTGCACGGGTGGCATGAGCGGTTGCTGGTAGGAGGCGTGCAGTGGCTGGGAGAACTGGACAGGCTGCAGGGTGGTCAGGCTGCTGCCCATGCTGTTGATGACTGGCACACTCTGTGCCTGAGTGGAGGCCAGGCCTGGAGTGGAAGCGGTAGGAATCAGCTTGGGCCCCCAATTATACCCCACCCACTCCCAGGCCTCCTAGGGGCACCACCTCTCCCTCCCAGAACCCATGGGTTGAAGGAGGGGGCAGGGTGGTCAGGAAACAGCCCTCCACTGGGACCTGCCACTAATTTAAGTGGCCCTGGCAAGTCATTCCCCCTGTCTGAGCCTTTAGCTCCTTATCTAGGCTACTGGGAGAAGCAGTCAGTGACTTGTTCAAAAATCATCAAACTGGGGTTCCACAGGAGTGCCAAGACCCTGGGGTTAGCTCTCTGCTCCCCTCTCTCATCAGCGCCCTATCTATCTTATGTTCTGGGCTTCTGCATAATTGTACCTGCAATTAAAGGCTTTCTGGGCTTAATTTTTCTTCAAAAAACAAAAAACTTAGAAAACAAATCCTCTAGCCTGCAGAGGATTTGTGATCATGAGGAAAAAATAATGCTAAAAGATATTTAAAAAAAAAAATCAGTCCCCTTACCCTGCTGTAATTTGCATAGACCCTTCACCTTCTGAGGAACCACAGAATGGATGTATTAGGCCTTCTGCCTGCCTCCCCACTTGAGTTGCTGAGATTTTGGTCTATTTGGTTCAATCAGGTATCACTGATGTAGCACAGTGCCTGGTCCAGAGTAGGCACTGGATAAATACATGTCGAATGAATGAATGAATGAATGAGTGAGTCCCACTGGCTCTTCCAGCTCCTGGATCCTGAGGTTGCCCCATGAGCCTCCCACCCAGGTACCCACCCATCCCCACCAGCTTACCAATGACCAGGGTGGAGGCACCTGTGTTGGTGAATGTGGGACCCAGGGAGGCGGGCTCACCAGGCCCAATGGTCATGACCCCAGGAAGTGAGGCCATGATGAGGTTCTGGGGCTGCTGGTTGAGGCCTGGGGATGTCTGCTCCAAGCTGTGCAGTGCTGTCAGGGTACTGACAGGGGGGAGTGGGCCCCCAGTTGCCGAGACCTACGAGAGGAAGCTGACCTAAGTTGGGGGCGGCGTCCCATCCCCACAGGGCCTCCCTTGGGACTGCTCGGGAATCTCCCTGCCAAGGAAAGATGAGGTTGGATTTTTCCTACAGGCAGGGACACTCACCAGTTTGGCTTCCGTGCTCAGGAGGCTGTGGCTGGGCTCCAGGCCTGTGGGGGACACTTGGTGCAGGGGTGTAGACACTGTCACTAAGGGACCGCCGCTGCTTGAGGGCACTTCTGCAGTTTCACTGGTTGCAGGCTGTCCATAGCGAACACCTGGAGGGGAAGTGATGTCCAGCCCCCGCACCCACTTCCCAGCCCTCCCTTGCCCCCAGCCCGCCTCATTCTAATGGCATCGGTGTGCTTAGGCCAGCTGCCTGTCTGTCTTTATGCAGCCAGCAAACTCTGCCTGTGCCTCTCCCTTGTGCTAAACCCTGGGTCAGCTGCTCCCAGTTCCTTGAAGGCTGGGACTGCATTTATTAGCTCCATTCTCCCCACTGCCTAGTGCTATGCCTCTACATGCGGTAGGTGCTCAGTAAAAGACAGCTGAACTTAACTGAATTTAGTTGAATTGAAATGAATGAATTGAAGTAACCCAAATCAAGTTAGGCTGAATTCAGTGGAATCATAAGAAGTAGAGTGGATGGTGTGGAGTACAATAGATGGAGTTTGTGAATAGAGTGGAGGGGATGGTGTGGAGTGGAGGGGATGG